AGGCAGAAGGCAGGCCAGCAATTGCAGACGGCTGTCCTCAAGACGGGCATGGTGAGGTGGTGGCGACGAGGAAAGACTTAGAAGAAGGCTCGCGGGAGGAATCTATGTTGGTGCACTCTACACGTGATCGGGGAGGAGGAAGTGGAATTGGTTGAGCTCTGGCGTGGCAGAGTTCAATGGAAGAGTGGCTGCGTGTTCAGAGGGCCTCTTCATGAAGGAGATCTTTGGATTCATCATGATCCCTTGAAGATGGAGGTCTTTTTGGACAGCAGTGCGGCCAGAGGCGGGTTTCAGCGCCAGGGTGTTGGCAGAATCCGACACTTGGAAGTGAAGAGCTTGTGGGCTCCAGAGGAAGCTGTCTTCTCTGCACTCGGATTAATTAAAAAGTCCGCTGCAATCCTGGCCGCAACTTTCTTATTGCCGGCTCGTTGTCAGCTCACGGAGGTGTAGCACGACTGGGCGATGGAGTCAGCGCCTTTACCGCGTATGGCCTGCTCAAAGCCAACGCCGACGCCGCGCCAGCGCCATTATCCGCACAGCGTCGCTGCTCTCAGTAGTCCAACTCAAAGTGGTTGTCGACAAGCTTCTGCTCAGTGGTGAGCCTGCGATGTGGTTCATCTGACGCATGTCCTCTCGCGCAGAACTCACACCAAGCAGCAGGAGGGATGACCTTCACGAAGCGCTTGATGACGAGCGCTTTGCCTTTCAGCCTGGTCACGCGCCTTAGCTTGCCGAGTTTTAAAGGCTGTGTCAGCCTTCTTCAGCCGTGCCACAAAGTGTGCTTGCCTCCATAGATGAGAAAGTCCAACTCTTTGAGACGCTCTCGCAAGTCAGCCACCTTAGGCCTGTCAGCTCTGGCACGCGCCTCACCTGTTCTTCGTCGTCCACTCCAGCGTACTCCCAGTCATATATATACTCATCACCTTGTCCTCCAACTGGAGCCATCACTGCCTGAGGTTCAGCATCGATGGGGATGGCCTCATTGTTTCTGACCTTGATGTAGTAGAGTTCTTGTAGAGGTACCATGGGATGTGTAGTCCAGGTGAGGATGTGAGAGGAATGGTCGAAACCTATCAGTCAAGTCAGAGGTGAATCCACGTCTGCTCATCTTGCCAACGCTGATCACATCTTTGCCGACCATGAGCATCGCGCTCGTCACCGCCAAACGATGGCCTGCACAGGTGTTCATCATTGCCAGAGTCCCAACAAAGCTACTTGATTTACTCGTCAGTCAGAAACACCCTTTCGAGTAGCGAGGGGCCTGCTCAGCTGCTGCTATCATCAAACGAAAACCTGCGTCCAACAAGTTCAGTTCTGGTATCCATGAGCTACGAAGGCCCAGGGTGGCCAATCTTCTTCTTTGCCACTGAACATCATCAGGCCTCCACCACCCAACTGCAAAGCCAGGGCCACTGATCTGCTGTACAACTCCTCCACCTCCACAGCCACAGGCGAAGCGAAAGCCTGCGGGAGAGTCCCCGCAGCCGCCATGCCACGCCAAGCCATGTGCTACGCATATCGCAGAGGATCTTTGCCTCTGTCTTACGTTGGCCCCCACGCGAGCACCTCGAAAGGCTTTACCCCGTTGACAGGGGGTTTGGAGCCAGGCGCCCGAGACCTGGCTCCGCTACCGTGCAAGCGGGTAGCGCCACTTTTCGACGCGCAAAAGGGTTGCGGTAACATGAGCCATGCAACATGTATGTACTTCCCTGCAGACCCCTAAAAGAATGTCTATAGATTGGCGCTTCTTTGATCATATACGATTACAGTATACATTGAGAATGTGCAGTTCTCGAAACCTCGAACATCGATTCCGATCGTGAGTTCATGTCTCGATTCCCTCATGCTCTCTTGGCCCAACTCACAGGGGCCCCTTGACCATCGCAGGCTGCCGCCATGGAGTGAAAAGAGGCGATAGTGTTCGCCCGACCGGATTCGTGCTGTTCAGTCGGCATACATGGTTGTGCGTTGGTCGTTTGCACTTTGAAGTGTTCCACATACAACATTGGTTGTCAGTTGGCATTTCTGTTGCGTTGAAGCTACCAGTGCATACCAACTGCACTGGTAGCGGAGCGGTGTTTGCTCCAGGCCGGGCCATGTCCGATGCCAAAGATCGCAATGAGGTGCCGAGTTGGCACGGCAGCTCAAAGACCTGGCGTCGGTATGTGAAAGAAGTTGGCCGGTTCCTGTCTGGCACAAAAGGGTCGCAGCGCAAGTATGTTGCAGCCAAGCTCATCAGCCAGCTTACAGGCGCAGCTCGTTTGTTGTCTATGTCCTGGCATCAACGAGACTTCGAAGGAGAAGAAGGAGTTCAGGTGATGTTGAGGAGACTTGCTGCTTCTCCCCTTGTGCGCCGTAGCCTGCCTAATGCAGCTGCTACGACGTCGGCCTATTTCATGTTCCAGCGGCGACCTGGTGAAAGCATTGCTCAGTTCCTTGTGAGGGAAACGTTGGGATTTGAGGAATTCCAGGAGGCCCTTCTCCAACTCAAGGAGGAGAAGGATGGTGTGTCGCCTGCCGACCGTTTGTTTGAGCTGCCTGCAATCATGCCTTCCGAGACCTCTGACCGTGGTGACTACAATCCATGGCGTCGTGACCAACGCTGGAGAGATTGGGAAGAGACTCGATTTGAGGAGCCTGATGATGGTTCACCACCAGAAGCCCCAGAAGGCTATGCGGCTGTTCCTCAGACTTCGGAAGCAGGTGATGATCGTGCACCAACACCTCATTCACCGGCGGGATCGCCGAACCGGACTCGGCAATCAATGAAGAGCCCCTCACGCAAGACAGAGCAACAGAAGTTAGTTGATGGTTTGGGTCCTATGGATTTTTTATATTAGACGTCTTACGTGGCTGGAGATTGCTTGTTGCCGCCAGCCTGTCAAATGATGAATGGAGGGACATCTTGGCTTTGGAATGCTTGACTGCGGTGCAACCGCCTCCGCAGGACCTGAAGCCTCCGTCAAAAAGCTGATAGCAAGACTTCGTGAGCTGGATGAACATTTGATGGTCACCATTGACCTTGAACGTCGACCGTTCTTTCGCTATGGTTCCGGTCGTTGGGGACAAGCCATGTATCTCACCACCATCCAGTCCTCCAAGGATACCTCCAAGTTCTTTGAAGTGTTTGCCCTGCCGAACCCTACAGAGTACTAGCAGAAGTCTCAGAAGTCCTTCAAAGAGCACATGTTGGTCCCCATTCTTGCCGGTATGGACTTCCTCTCCAAGGTTCTGTGCAGTGTTTGGCGCCCACAACTAGTCGGAGCCCTTCACCATGCCAAAGAACTCCAAGGGTCACTTCATGGTCGACATTGGCCAGTACCTGATCGGTTCATCATCCTCCGGTGCCCAGGCTTGCCGTCCACTCTGCGGCGACGCAACTCCAGGTTGGAGGACCCAGTGATGAATGGTTTGAGCTCGCAGTTCATGAAGATTCAGTTGCAAGCACGGTTGATGAGCATCACGCAGCACTTCATGTTACAGCTTCACGTGATTTTGTTTGCACCATGCCATCCATGAGTGTCGGTTTTGAGATGTTGTTCAACCGCCGGAAGCAGTTGTCATCTTCTACCGCAGCCTCTGGCCTATCATCCAGGCCACCGTGTTTTTCGACTTCCGCGACTTCTGATGGCCAAGCCCTCCAAAGGGTACAAGACACCCACACCTCTGGACCCCAAGCGCCGTCAGGGTCACGACCTCAAGGATCCTCGAGCTCAGCCATCATGTTGGCCGTGTCTCGGCAAGCACGAGCCCTCAGTGACTGGAAGCAACGCTCGTGGCTCATGGGCAAAGCGCGCAGTGTGTGCTCTCAAAATCGAGTACGTTCCCCGCCAGGGATCACCAGCGAGCTCGGTCGTGCACAAGGGCCACACCTTTGCGCAGAAGGCTCTGGAGATGCTTCAGGCCAAGATCCCCAAGGGCGCCAAGCCCACCTACGAGATGGTGGAGAAGACCTACGAGTACATGGAGGCATTGGACAAGATCCGTGCCATGAAGGCAAAGGTGTCCTCCTTGGAGATCGAGACTCAGGCCATGTTGAGCAGCCTCCAATTGCTCCACACCGGATCGAAGAAGACAGCCAAGACCTCCGAGGCGGAGAACCTCCTGGCACACCTCACTCCGGAAGAGCTTCAGCATGTCAAGAACTTGGCATCGCAGAGGCAGCTCGGTCCGGGCTCAGCTTTAAATGATTCCCTTCAGCCCAACCTCGCCGACGGACGACGATGTGGTGGTTGTCGCCACTCCCAAGGCGACCAGCCCGGTGATCCACCTGAGCTAGATGAGTCACTTGGCACTTCAGCGCCGGAGTTGCAGATTGAGTTGGATACGAAGAAGGTTCAGTTCTCTGCCACTTCAACTGAAGTCCATGAATTCGATGCCACAGCTTTGACATGTCAGGAGATCCGATCCTGAGCACACTTGTGAGACTGTGGACTTTGAGCTTCTCAAGATTGCCGACAGCAAGGTTTGCAAGTCCTTCAAGAAGGGCAGCTCACGTCGAGCCGCTCGCCAGGACAAGAATTCATCATCCTTTTCTCCAAAGACCACATCACTCCATGGTCAGCAGCATGTTTCCCCAGCGCAGGAGATGGAAGAAAAGCTTTCTTCAGCGCCGTCCCGTTCCTTGGACTCCCTGTGCTTCCTTGGAGGATCTGCCAAGCCGTGATGGCCCTATGCAGTATGCTCCTCCTGACGGCCCAGAATGACCTGAGCACTTTGCTTCGAGGTCATGTCGATGTGTGGGAGATCTTTTGTGCTCCCGAGTCCTGGTTGACGTCAGCATGCCACTCGGAAGGACTGACTGCTTCACGGATCAACCTGCACCAGAACTTTGACATGTACCGTGCCATGATGAACTTTGGGACAAGTTCTTGCGAGAAAGGCCACGTCGCATTTGGATTTCAGCTAGATGCGCTTACTGGTGTCCCTTCACCTCGCTCAACTACCAGACCGTTGGGGACAAGAAGATTCTTGAGAAGTACTGCAGAAAAGAAAGAGCAATGTTCCGTCGTTTGGTTCCTTTCCTTGCAGCCGCCGTGGCCTATGATCCCAATGTCGAGATCTTCTGGGAGTGGCCCACCAGATGCTATGGCTGGAATGAACCAATGGTTCAACGACTTGGAACCGAGATGATCAACGCCAACAAGGAGTGGCTCTTCGCTCGCATTGATGGGTGCCGCTATGGACTCCTCTCATCACAAGGACTTCCTCTTCGGAAACACTGACCCATTGCCACGACTTCCCGGCACTTCTTCACCATCTATAGTGCCAAGACTTGCACTGGTTCTCATGAACACGATCACATCCAAGGAGTTGAAACTTCAAGATCAGCCTTCTATATCCTTGGAAGATGTGCAAGTCGATTGCGCAACACTGGCGGGCAGAGCTCTACCCGACAAGATGGCTTGGTCGTCTTCATTCGCCAATTGCTATGCACATGACTGAGGCGGAACAGCTCAACAGCTCGAAGCAATGCCTCAAGAGCTTGATGATGATGAGCCCAATGAAGAACTCCGAAAGCAATGGAACATCCAGGTACCACAAGGCCGCTGGACATCCGAACAACTACAACTTGGCCCGCGTCATCCGTGAAGCTGGCCAACCTAGATGGAAGGTGGAAGCCGCTCTTCAGCTTCCGTGTGATGATTGTAAGGCTTTGAAGATGGGTGGCACCTCAGCGGAAAGATTCCGCCAGCTTCTTTGAGGCCATTGCCTGGGAAATGGTGGGTCTCGACACCACTGAGTGGACTCCACTAAACAGCAAGGTCAAACACAAGATATTAGTCCTCATCAATTTCGCCACACACTACAAAGCCGCCAAGAGACTTCGAACTATGGATCTCTACAAGCAGGAGAATGAGAACACCACTGAGATCCTCGAGGGCATCTTCGAATTTTGGCTTTCCTCAAAGCCAAAGATGACCATCTTGGTACCTGACAATGCCAAGTCAATGGTCAGTGCACAAGCTCGTACGACTCTCTCCGACCTCAACATCCAGATAGAAGCTCCACCAGCAAAAGAAAGCTGGAGTCATGGCTTGATGGAAAGAGCCGTTCAGGAAGTCAAGACAGTCGCATCCAAGACCACCTTGTCCTTTCCATCGCTCTCAGCAAATGCCATTTTGGCCCTCTCCATTCAGTCGCTCAACGCCACTGAGATTGTGCAAGGCTACACGCCTCACCAGTGGGTGTACGGGAAGCCGTTCAGCTTCTCGGACGAGGATGAGCGTTCCATGCAACAGATCCTACCTGATGTTCCTGGCCAGGACTTCATTTCCATTTTGACCAATCGTCAGCAGGCAGAAGAGATTGCGAAAGGCGAGATCCCACTTGATCTTGAACAAGCTCAGAGGCTCAGAAACTCCAAAGTCAGGCAACCGCTCCAGGTTTTGCAGCCCATGGACTTGGTGAAGATTTGGCGTCGCTACTCCACCAACGAGGTGGCCTTCGCAAGCTTGGCCATCCTCAATGGCTTGGGCCTGGCCGTGTGGTCTTCCATGAAGTCATTCATGGGCAAAGGCCTGAAGAAGAAAGAAGACACATCGTGTGGGTCAACGTGGCCGGGGCTATGCACCGCTGTTCAGTGCACTCAGTCCGCAAGGTGACCGAAAGAGAGCGTCTGGACTACGAGATCGCCAATCCAGAGGATCCCTCAAACTGGCGATAGAACCAGGGTGCGACACACACAACAAGCCGAAATCGGCGCAAAGAGGAAGCGGTGGAGAACGGACCTTTTTTCTCAAAAACCGCCTGCGCGCGTGCAGCGTGGAGTCTTGAAGCTAAGCCGGAAAGAGCCAAGCGCTGGCTACCGGCGCTGGTGTGGTCCCTGATTTTCCAGGGTTGGGTGGGTTGCATGTAGGTGATGGTGCGTTGTTGGAGGTCAATGTTGAAGCCCAAAAGGTGGAAGTCATCCACCGTTTCCAATTCGACGGGATCGCCGAAAAAGTTGTTGTGGATGAGGGTCTGGATGGCGGGATGTGACAGGAAGTGTTCGTTGTGGACAATGAAACGGTTGTCCACATAGCGGTAGTATGTGAAGTGGAGGGCAGTGTGTTGAAGGAGATTGTTGTGGAGCTGGTGCCAAGAATGTTCGATGAGAGTGATCGCGACGTTGCAAAGGGCAGGGGAGAGCTGGGGGCCAATCCCAGCCCCCCGAATTTGCTTGTAAGTGTTGTTACACGCCCGGAAAATGCAGGTGTCGAGTGCGTATGCCACAATGGTAGTGCTGTCTGCAGTGTGGAGGGTGCGTTGTGTGGGGTGGCAACGGTGGTGCCTGCCAATATGGGAGTGATGGAAAGGATTGCGTCGACTGTAATAGTGTGGGTGTGATTCTGGTGTTGCCATTGTTGAATCAAGGAATGAACGGCATCAATCAGGCGGTGCTGAGGGACGGAGTTGAAGAAGCCCACAAGATCATCGTTGGTGGCATGTAGGGGAATGTCTGGAGGGGTGTCAGTGAGGTAGCAGTGAAAATGGGACCAGAGTTGTGGAATGGATAGTTGACCTGGATGGTGGGGGATGTTGTAGAATAATGTCAAGTGCCCGGCTGGTGATGCGGAGGAGATTGCCGCTGAGGGGCTGGAAGTACGAGATGATGGTGCGGCCTTTTCTCCACTGTTTCTTCTCCTTGAGGTGGACGATGCCGTATGGGATCGTGAAATCCTTTCTGAAGCCCCATTTGTAGCGTGTGCGGAGGCTGTTGGGGATGGTGTGTAGCAGGTAGTCATGGATGTTTGACGGTTGAAGGGTTGGCATGGGCGCAAAGAGTTCGGGTGATTGCCAGGTAGCGAGCGCCCCGGTGAAATATTGACGGGGACAGAAAATGCGCAGCTGTTGCAGCTCGTGGTCAGCATGGTGAAGGACGACTTGGTCTCCCAGGAATTCCTGGAGTTGTCGGAGAAGGCGAGCCGTGAAACGGGGCTGTTGTTTTAAATGGTTGGTGTGGAGCTTCCATTGGTGTTGGAGGAAGGGTTCTAAGTGCTGTGTAAGAGAGGGTGGGAGGCCTTGAATGCGCAGCCATTTTGTGAAAGCAGTCTGAAATGTAAGGAAGTATCTGGCTTTGCTGGGGTAGAAAGTGCTGTTCATATTGGCTGCCAGGAAAATGCGGAGGTGTGGTGGTAGTGTGAGTTGTTCAAGGGTGAGGATGTAATGGTTGTCGACTGTAGGTGTGGTTGGATCGAGAAGAATGGTTCTCAAGTGGTGGCATGCACAGGGCAAGTCACTGGAGGTCGGAGGGTTTGGCAACGTATCCTCCCAGGTGCGGTGGTTGTGCAAATGGGCTCTGAGAGTCTTGTGGGCTGCTTCCCGCAAACGGTGGGTAGGTAAGTGGAGCGGGATGGCCAAGTGTTTGTGGTGCTGTATTGTTGTTTTGAGCCATTGTTCGCAGTGTTTGGAAAACTGGTCATGAGCCAGAAACGGTATGGTGAGTGGGATGTTGGGCTTGGGTGGACTGAGGTTGCGTTACTTGAGCGCTTGGTTGATGATGTGTAGTGCTTTGCTGCGGCCAGGTTCTTCCAGGTTGGAGGCCATTCGTCGGATGGCGTAAACTTCCAGGTCTGTATGTTTGCCGCTGCGTAGTTGCTTGGCTGCTTCAAAGGATGCCAGTGTGTGCTTGGTGAGATTGCGAAGGAGTGTGAGGGCGTGTAGTCGAGTGGAAGTGAAAAGATGGGGTTCATGAATGGCATGTTGCCGTCTGCGAAGTTTGCGGAATAGTCGCTTGTGGGTGGCCAGGCGAGAGTAGAAATGGGCGCGGTGCTTTGTGAATTGCCAGCCTTCTTTGAGCTTGAGGTGATGTGAAATGAAAGGCCAATTGAGCGGCGGCATCCAGTTGGAGATGAGGTAGTGTTCCTGGATCCAAGCTTGGTCGTAGGTGTCGTGAGAAGAAAGCTGGATGGGTGTGAAGTGGTGAACGTTGTTGTGAGAATGCCAGTAGCGGAGGGACAGTTCCGCTGAAATGGGGATGTTGTTCTGCAGCTGTTTTAGTTTAGCCCGACGGTTGTGCTCTCTGTGTGGGATGCCAATGCCAGTAGAGCCGATGTAGAAATGGCCATGTTGGTGATAGCAGCGGTGTGGTGCGGTGGGTTTAGGGTTTAGGGTTTAGGTTGAGGTAGAGTTTGACGTAAACTGCGTTGGGAGAAAGAAAGTTGTGGTAGTGATAGGTGTGTGGTTGTATTTGAAGGTGTTGAAGCCGTTGGCGCCATTGTTGTGACCGTTGTGTAGAGGAGGGGTAGCAAAAGAGAAGTGTAATGTGGATGAGTCCCACGGCAAAGAGGGCCTCGGCGCGTTCAATGTATTGGCTGCAGTGAATGAGAGTGGACAGGGCTTGGTGTAAGTGGAAAAGTTGGTGGAGTGTAGTGTGGCGCGGCTGGCGCTGGCTGGTCAGGGCTAGTCAGCAGGCGATGGCAGCCCCCACGCTGACAATGTGTTGGAGGCTCTTGATCGAGAGCTTGTTCACTCGAATGAGGGGGAGGCCGTAGCGGGTCCGGCCTCCTTAAGCTGGTCGGTGGAAACCTTGCTAGTCTGAAGCAAGCGCAAGATTTCTTGGGCTGCCTCCTGCACTTTGGGCTCGAAAGTACGCATCCACTGTTGGATGCATGGAGGGTGCGGTCCAGGCTTCGGGAGCGTCGTCCTTGAGGGTGGGGTAGGACGGCTGAAGCGCGTCGGGGAGTGCTGGTGGTTGATGAGGTGTGGGGGGTGCTGCAGGAGCCGAGGGAGCGCTGGGACGGCCGGTGTCCTTCTTGGGGGTGAGCTCCAATCCGTGTGCTTGGAGTTTCTCACGGGCACGGGCAAGATCGTCGGAGGTGGCTTTGAGCGCTCGGAGGTTCAGCAACTGCTGGGGCATGGGCTTGTAGCTGGTCGGTCAGAAGTGTGAAGTGGAAAGCTCGGGCTTGTGTTGTTTTGTTGGGGATGGTGGTGCCAGCCTTTGTGTGCGTGGCTTCGGCGATAGCGTCCAAGTCCAGACGCTTATCGCGAATCTCCTGGAGGAGATGTGTGGTGAAAACGGATTCGGCCACGCTCCTGGTGGGAATGAGGCCGCAAAACTTGCCGTGACTGAGCGTCCTGGCTGTATAGTCAGCCGTCCCGTGGTACGCAAGGAGCCAAGGGAACACCTCAAAAGTTGGCAAGCCTGCGATCCTGACGCGTCGGGACCATTGCGTTGGCTGGATGTCCGAGTGGCTGGGGCTGTGTTTGAAGGAGGTCTGAGTTGGCGTTGCAGGAGTGCGGTAGGGAGTGGTGGTGGTGGCGGTGGGGGGAAAGAAGGACTGGTGCCTGTTGGTGGTGTGTGGGACGGCGGCGATGTCGAAGGTGGCGGCGTGTAAGGGTGCGACTGATGCTGTTGGTGCGTGCGGATCGAGTGGCTCATGGGGCCATAAGTGGCAGTCGGAGTGCCTCAGCGCCCGATGTGAGCTGGTGCTGCTGCTGTTGGAGCAGGTAGTGGTTCCAGTAGTACTGCTGCCATTGCGCGTCCATGTTGAGCACAGGAGGAGGGCGATGATGAGGGCGGGAAGCGGTCAGTTCGAGCAGGAAAGCTAAAGTGAAGAAATCCTAAACAAGCCTGAATCATGCAGTGACTACATAGCAAACTGTACATGCAAGAGGATCAAAATGGTGACACATGCGGTGAGGTATCGGGTACTCAGTCCACCTAGTTGATCGATTGAAATTGACTGAAATGATCGAAAAACGTGGAATTGAAAATTGAAGCGACATCGTGTCTCGTGGAGCAGCTTCGGAGTTTTCTCGTGGTGCGAGTGAAACCGTTGGTGTTGGTGAAAGATCAGTGAGGCCACAACCAAGTAAATCAAAATCAAGAGGCGCTCTGTAAAAGTAAGTGGTGTGGGACAAATCAAAATCTGTTGGTAAGCTAAAGCGGACGCTCACTGGGGCTGCTCGTCAGCGCCGTAGTTGTTCCAAGGGTCGTTTGCCGGGTCATAGTCTTGGGCATGGAGCGGCAGCTGGCGACCCGAAGCGTCGTAGAGAACTCGGGGAGGGGGGTTGTTGTAGATGCCCAGGATTGACCTGCGGTGTGTGGTGGGGAATGTGGAGGACTGGTGGCGCTGGTTTCGGCACTGGATTGGGCACTGGATAGGGGCCCGGCCAAGCGTGGGCTGTGGGGGAAATGGAGGCCGGAGGTGTGGGAGGGACATATGGGAGTTGAACCGGAGGTGGTGGCGCGGGGTAATGTGAGCTCGCTGGCGGAGCGGCCATAGGTGGAGCCTGGAATGCCGGTGGTGGTTGCTTGGGCTGCTGGTCCGGTGGTTGAAGGAGAAAAGGAGTGGAGGAGGTGGCTCGTGGTTTCGGTACAGGGGAGCCGCGTCGGGGTTCTGAACGCGTGGATCTGGTCCACCTCTGGGGTGGGGATGAAGTTGGTATTTCAAATAGGAAACAGCCTAAAAGATACACCTTTTTCCTTGAGCCAAAGGCACGCGTAGTAGGGGCAATGTATGTACAATAGCTGTGAAAAAATACCCCCCCGCGGCGCCGCCAGTTCACTGGCAGCACCGAAGAGGCAGACAGCAGCCACCATAGACCTTAGGACAGGCTGCAATGCTATGTACAACATGCACGACCTACGAATGCGTGGTTGTAGTGGAGAAAGTTGCAT